CATGTTGCAATTAGTTTTGTAGATATTTTTATATAGTTGTTAAATAGGTTATTTTTATTTTTTAAATTATATAACGTTTTTCAAATAAAATGATTTAAAATATATTCAAACATCGTAAACCAACAAAAAGCAATTTAAATTGGGATAGAGGAAGTACAAATTATAAGTATAAGTGTTACATTTATCATTTGAAATAACAACTAAGTAATACTCATATGTAGTACGAGTACTTCGTATATACTCCCTTCGTCCCTGAAAACCTTTCTCCTTTCTTTTTTTTATCCGTTCCTAAAAACACTTCTCATTTATATTAAAAAGTCACTTTTACCCCTTACTTTTTCATACACTACCTATCACATCATACATTTTTACTAATAATCTATCCATCAAATCATACTTTTATCCATCACATCAAAGGACATTTTTGGAATTTCAATACCAAAATACACTCTCCTTAAATCTCTTTTCAAAATCAAAACTCCCATGTTTTCCGAGACGGAGGTAGTATATTTTTATGAATTGTAATTTTGTTTGAATGTATCATTGTAAAGTGTAAGATTTTCTTTTAAATTTTCCTTTTTTCAGTTTTTTGAAATTGTTTTAGTTATAAATTACAATCTATAATTAGAAAAACAAAAAATGTACTAGAACTAGGTTGTGAATTGTCTAACAATCAAACCACCCCCACCACTAACCGTCACATTTATACCCAACAAAATTTGACTCGATTCATTTTTAATCCGAAAGTCGACCTAAATAAGTAGGTTTTGAATATCGATTTTGCGACCTGAATTTGAAATGATCCGAACCCAAAGACCAGTTAAATTTTCTGGTCGAGTTAGGTCGGGTTTGACTGACAGGTTATACACTTAATTGTTTACTTTTATTGGTTATTTAGTTTTATAGGCCCGGTTCTCATACGAATGAATGTTGGTATAATAAATAAAAATGGTGCATTTTTTGTTTTTCATGGTGCATTTTACAGAGCAGGAAGTTCACCATGGTGCATTTTACAAAACACAGGTAATTCATTTTATGAAGTTTGATTTAATTACAAAAATGCCACCTTTATTTTTCTAATCTTTTCTTATTTTTCAAAATTTTGTGACCCTGATATCTCACATTCAAAAGCACCACATGCATTCTTATTTCTTTCAAAAGTGATACAATTTGATAATAATTTGTCTTATTGAATATTGAGAGATATGTTCCTATATATAGGGATTACAAGAGAGAGTCCTATTCCTAGTAGGAAAGGAATAAAGTAATTATGGTAATACAAGAATAAGGAAACTAAATAATATTAGGAGTCTTCCTATTATCCCCCCGCAAGCTGATCAACGGATACGAGGGGCAGCTTGGAACACAAATAATGGAACGGAGTCGGCGGAAGCGGTTTTGTCAAGATGTCAGCAAGCTGCTCAGAAGAAGGAACATGATGTGTAGTCATAGTGCCAGCCATAACCTCATCTCGAACAAAGTGACAGTCAGAGCCAACATGCTTCATGCGATCATGGAGAACGGGATTCTTGGTGACGCAGATTGTGGACTCATTATCACAATAAATCTTAGGTTTCGTAGGCGGAACATGCAGAGAATCCATAATATAACGAAGCCACATCGCCTCTGCCACCCCCGCGGCCATAACGCGATACTCAGCTTCGGTGAAGGAGCGCGA